AGAGAGAGAGAGAGAGAGAGAGAGAGAGAAAAAGAGAGTGGTAGAGAGAAAGAAAGAGAGATAGGAATGCGTGTAATAACATCGCTGCATGAGAGCTGGCTACGTAAGTACGCGCCGATGCGAGATTTGTTTCGCGACGACTTTGAAACTTCAAACTTCTCGAATATGAAACGTGACGTTTTGATGATCATTCTAAACCAACGACCACCGCCATCACCACCACCACAGCCACACAGTAGCACCGTGCCGCATGCACTACCGCGCCGCACTGCTCAGACTTGCAACACGACGACATCGCCGACGACGATGACAACAACAACAATGAAACCGCCGCCGTCGAACAACAAAGATGATGACGTACGAGTAGCTGGGTGTAGAGGGCCTCCATCTTCCCCAGCAGCTGCACGTAGAGCTTGGTCTCCGTGGGCTTCAGCGTGTTCTTCGCGGCGACGCACTGGTCGGCGCGCGTCCTGAACTTGACGACCTCGGTGTGAAGATGGCGGTGGGTAGAGAGGAAGTGCTGCACGGAGGGCAGGTCGTCCCCCCACTTGGACGACTCGACTTCCATCTGTGTGCGGGAGGGAAAAACGAATGCTTGATATGCAAACAAACAACAAACACAAACAAAGAACAAACTAGACAGAGGGCACTCAAAAAGAGTGCATACCTCGCCGGAGCGTAACTGTATTACATGTGTATAACAGCTGCGCTCGCTGCTGTGCTGCGGTCTGGACAGTTCGTAAGGCGACATGCTCGCTGCTGACTGGGCGGACTAGGCGAGCTGCGGTGCTGAATTCGAGATCCGCTGCTGTGCTGTGCTCGCTGCTGGCTACACCACACACACGAACATCACACGGAGTCGGTGTCACATTACCTCCTGCACTCCGTTGCGGAGGTAACAAACGATGGGGTGACTATCATTAAAAGGGGAAATTGGACAAGGGCGTGACGGAGGTGCGTAGCCGTAGTGTGGGCAGTGGAGTGTGTGATAAAGTAAGTCTGCGGGCAAACAAACAATGGCTTGGTGCAAACAAACAACAAACAACAAACAACAAAAAACAAAAACAAGAGTATGACGGATGTAGGTAAGTGTGGGTAGTAGTAGGTGGGGGTGTGATGACACGATCCGTGTCATGAGGCACCTTTCATATTGCGATGTCTTCAGGGGAAACTACCTAGCAAACTCCTCACTTAACTGCATACACTCACCAGCTTTCCCTCTATCCACTGCATGCACTCCTGCACGTTCTTGAAGACGACGTTTGTTTCGACGATGCGCATCTCCGACACGACCTCCGTCGTCCGCCGCACGGTCACCTGCTCGGTCGTGAACGTTCGCTTGTTCAGCGCGAGAACGAGCCCCTGGTCGTATCGGTTCCGCAGCTGCGCGAGTCGTTCCTGGAGTATCTGCGCTCTGACGAGGAATTGGGAACAAGGAACAATTAGGACAAGTTACGTTAGAAAATTACGTTTATGGTAAAAAAAATCTAAATGCTCTGCAGAAATAAAAATTCCCCCACGAATCGGGTAGTTAATGATCACCCGACGTGAGTCACTCGCATCTCTTCCTCTCTCTTTCTCACTCTCTGTATTTCTCTCTCCCTCTTTCCCTCTCTCTCTCTC